ACATACGGATGTATGCATATATGTACGTACGCACGTAAAGATGTACAGATGCATCCATATATGTATGCATGCATATATATATGTATGCATGCATATATATATATGGATGCATGTATGTATGTATGTATGTATGTGCATTGTTTAAAAAAAAACCGGATCCTCTCTCTCATTCTCTTCACAAATCATCACAAGCCATCCATACCAAAAACGTTTAGATAGGCAATATAATAAAAAATGCAAGGTTGGCCATGTTTGTGTGGTTCAGCGCCAACTGCCCACAGCCCCATCTGCTGCCACAGCAGCACACTTGCACATATACATATGTATACATATATATCATCAAATAGAACTGCCCGGTAAACCGTGGGCAGAGAGGGAGAAGAGGACAACAAATGAGGGGCTGTGACAAACTGTTTCGTCGGAGTTTCACCGACTCATCAGGAGGCTATATATATTTCAAATCATAAGGGGATCGAGGGCAGAAGGCAACTGACCTACGACGGAAGACTACTGTGACAGGGCTTACGCAGAGCAGCGAGGTCTGGGAAGATAGAGGGAGGGAGGGAAAGCACACAACACACTCACTCAGCTCGACAGAGTCTCGACACGACTCGATGGACACGGACACAAAGTGGCAAAGTGGAAAAGTCGCAATCTTGGTTCCGTACACAATGTTGCGGCAAGTCGCACTGAAGCACAAGCACTGAGGCCAAAAACTGAGTCCCCGAACTCAGCTTGAGTCCGGTCTTAGGAACCGGACTCAAGTCGAGTCCGAGGGCAAAAGTGCAATTTGCCTCAGGGCTGAACTGAAAACCAAAGGTCTGAGCCTGGGCGCCAGAGTGCCGGATGGCGCCAAGCACGAAATCCGAAAGTGGCAGAGGCCGGATTTGAGAACGGGCGCCAACTGCAGAGGGCGCCAACAGTCAGAGACTCCAAAAAAAAAAAGATACGCAGCCTGGTGGGTGGTAATCCGCGGACCAGGGATCGAGACCTGGGGCCAGGTCCCACTAGCAGCGTTGAGTTTCCTCAACGCCTGAATGTGGACGTGTATGTGGATGTGTGCAGAAATCGCATTGAGTTTTCTCAACCGCACATCTCCACGACCGCGTCCAGATTCAGGCGTTGAGGAAACTCAACGCTGCTAGTGGGACCTGGCCGCTGGCTGGGTCCGTAACTACTCCAGCGAGAAGGCACCAACCCAACCCCCTCAAAGGTCCGAAAATCTCAAGACCTTCGGCATCGGCCCACAGAACCAAAAACTCGACTACCAAAAACAAACAAATATAACCGCATTGGCACTACCGACATTCATCTGAAAAAACTACACACTCGTGTCACTGCGAAAGGAGGAGGAAGAACACACCGACCCCCCCTGCTACTGGGAAAGCCTTCCACGCCGGCTCACAAAACATACATTCCCCCCAAAGAGAACTTGTGGCCACCTGTAAACATCCAAACAGCCCATGCTCCGAAGCAGGGCAAAGAATTAGGCCTTGTATAATCAACAAAACCAACAAGACATCCAACCACAAAAAGAGAGAATAGCTCGCTAGTACGAGCCCAATCCTAGCCGCTCAAATCTGCCAAGACAGAGAGTAACCAAGACCGGAATGCATGTTATTTTAAAAGCCCCCCTTCACAAATCATCACAAGCCATCCACAACGAAAAAGATTAGATAGGCAATATACTAGAAAATGCAAGGTTGGCCACATTTGTGTGCTTCAGCACCAAGTGCCCACATATACATATATAATTATTTATATATATATATATATTGTCACATTGTGAATCAGAGCGCAGAAGCAAAAAAAAGGGGAAAGAAAAAAGGAAAAGGAAAAAAGGGGAAGGGGAAGAGGTAAGGAAAGCTCCACCTGTTCATAACCTCTTACGTACAAGGCCAGCCACGTGGATGACAGGTTGAGCGCTGGCYGCCCCCATCCCCGTGTGTCACAAGGACCCACTTGCACGCAGCCAAAAGGCAAAGAGGTAAAGAAAAGGAGGAGGAAACCAAACCTGACAGGGAAAGAAAGATGGGGAAAGAAAAGATAATCCAATTATCACAAAGCAAATAACACATCCCACAGATCAACGTGTCCTTTTTCTTTTTTTCTCTTTTTTTCTCTTTTTTTCTTTTTTTCTTTTTTTCTTTTCTTCTTTTTTTCTTCACCTGTCCCCACCTCGGCAGATAGGACAGCTACGGTGAGGATGATGTGGATGTTCAGAAGGATGCCCAAGGAGAGCTGCGCCAGCACGGCATTCTGCAGGACGGCTAGCACGAACCATCCCATCAAAACAGTCCTGACAGAGGACATGTTGTCCACATGTCAAAAACACAGCAGGCAACTTACCTTAGACGGAAGACTACTCCAGCAAGAAGGCACCGACCCGACCCCCTCAAAGGTCCAAAAAACCTCGAAGAGCCTTCCGTGTCAAGTGTATGTATGTATGTATGTATGTACGTATGTATGTATGAGGTGTGTGCGCGTGCGAGTGCTGTTACACAACTCCAAAAGGGCCTTCATGTTTAACCAGCCCCAGACCACATAACTGCGCCAGACTGCTTAGACGGACTTCCATTATCTCATCACGAGGTTGAACCCCAACAGTCTCCACAGGATGTGTTTGACTGACGGGTAAGGACTCACCGCACATCCACACCCCTAACAAGAATGGCAGAAAGTCTCCATCGAAGCACCCCTCAAACACACCTGCACAGTCATGGATGTGTATGTGCATAGGGTACTTCCACAACTAATGTATGTCCGTCCATAAGCCAGCATGCTTGTCCTTCTGCCCAACTGTTTTTGTTTTCTCTCCGTCTAGTTCGCTTTCCAGCCACGTCTGTCTTTGCTGACCTGCCCGTCTGACAGGCTGTCAATCAATGGCTGTCCGGCCACGTCTGTCTATGCTGACCTGCCTGTCTGACAGGCTGTCAATCAATATCTATCGATAGAGACTCGGGGCAGAAGAAACCTGTCAGAAACTTGACCATACCGTAAATTGTACCCTCCATTGTACCCTCCTCACCGGATTGCAGACCCTGACGAACATACATGCCACTACAGAATCTTGTGGGCAGCATTTTTTCCCCCGTAGGAGTCTAGTAGTAGAAACGAGCTATTATATATTATATTATATTATATATTACAGGTAGCTAGTTACTCGTAAGAAGACTGCATAGCAAATCGTTACAACATTTACTTCATTTTTAAGTTTGCCTGTTTTGATATACAAGCACAAAAGCAAATATATAATCATCAAACAAAACGTCAGTACCATTTCATTAGGTGAATCTGCTATGTATGATCTGATATATATATATATATATCGCCAAACAGAACTGCCCGGTAAACCGTAGGGAGAGAGGGAGGGAGAAGAGGACAAGAAACGAGGGGCTGTGACAAACTGTTTCGTCAGAGTTTCACCGACTCATCAGGAGGCTGAACCCTCAACAGTCTGCAGAATTCCCTCACTGATAACACCGTAAGTGATAATCCACCTTAACCCCCGCTGCGGTTAAGCATCAGCGATTGCCTACAACTGATACCCCTCTGAGGTGGTGGGGACCACCAACCGGTGCCCTAAATGTGCCTGTGACGAAAATCAAAGCAGACTATCACTCACCCACAGCAGATGGAAAACTCCACGGACTGTCGGTTCACAACCCATCACAATGTATCGTATATATATCGTCATATATTCGACAATGAGTGAAGATGCTAATCTAATTGGACTTGGTGATATTCAAGGAACTCACATTTTCTTCTTCAGTTTCACTTATTGATTGGTTGCAGTCGTGTTTTTTTTTTTTTTTTTTTTTTTTTTTTTTCCCTGTACTGTGCTACTTAAGCCTAATTATTCCAGTTGATGTAAAGCGTTCAATAAAAACTCATTACAGCTACTTCCTACAACTTGGTCGTTAGGCAACAACTGCCAAATCACTTCAATACATCTCCATTCCAAACACACACCTTGTGTAAACTTCAGGATACACATTCATAAT